AAAAGCCCCAATCTGCTGCTGCTGCTGCATGCAGCAGCAGCAGCAGCAGCAGCACCAGGCCGAGGGTTTTCTCTCTTCCTCCCTCAACTCTGCTGCAACCTCTTATTGGCACAAAGGCAGGAGCAGAGGCAGCAGCAGCACTTGTTGCTGCTTACTGTGCCCCTAAAGAATTAGGGTGTAGTCTTTAGGGTTTAGGGTTTAGGGTTTAGGGTTTAGGGTTTAGGGTTTAGATTTGTTTGTATATATGTACTATTCTATTCTTGAGGAAAACTTCCTTAATGACTTTTTATTTTATTTTTTTTTTTTTAATTTAATTTTATTTAATTAAAAAAAGAATAAAAAGGAATAAAATTAATGAATATAATTATAATATAAATATATATAGACGTAAATACACACTAATTTAATTAACTAAATAAATAAATATATTTTTATATTCTTTTTGTACTTAAATTATAAATATTTTTATTTATTTATTTTGTTTTTTTTTTTTCTTCTCTTTTCTTGTTTCTGTTGTTAACTGAGGGGAGGAAGAAGACCAGGAATAATTATAATATTCTTCTTTTTTTTCTTAATAATAATAAAAATAGTAAATAAAATAAATAAAATAAATAAATAAAATAAAATAAATAAATAATTTAATGAATTAATTGAATATTTCATGGAAGATCGATAAGAAGATCGTGTTGGGGTGTATGCACACCTCTATGGTGGAAAGAGGCATCTAAATAAAAAAAAAAGAAGAAAAAAACAGGAAAAAGGTCTTTTTTCTTTATTTTTCTTTATTTTTTTAATAAAAATAGAATAAAATAACTTATTTATATTTATTTATTATTTATTTATATATAAATTATATTTATATATAATAATATATTTATATATATATAATGGGGCTGCAGCCATATAGACAGTCCGTGTTGTCGCTCCTTCTGCCTCCTCCTTCTGTTGTTTTTGTTTGTTTTGTTTATTCTTGGTGTCTTTATTGATTAATTTACGTCTTTTTTGTTTAATTTTAACAAAAAAAAACACAAAATAAATCTTTTGATTTATTTTAACGTTAATTACTCGCATAAATCATTTAATTACTGCAGCTAACTGCTGTACGTACACCCCACCAACTTCTGCTGCTGTTGTTGCTGCTGCTGGTGCACAGCAACAACAGCAACAAGAAGAAAACACATTTTTATATTTATGTTTATAAATTAATATTATATTTAATTATTTCTTCTTATTATTCTCTTTTTATTAATGTAACTTATGTCTATTTATACCTCCTGCTGCTGCTGCTGCTGCTGCTGCTGTATATATCTGTATATATGTAGCTATACTTCTTACCTTCTTATATAATATTATCCTTTATCTATCATCTTTTTTCTCTCTTCTTTTCTCTTCTTTTCTTGTATTTGTTTGTCTTTATTCATTTATTTATATTTTACTTCCTTCCTTATACAGACAGCAACATAAATACGCCATAAATCACCTTTTTTGCTGCTGCAGCAGACAGCAGCAGCAGCAATTACTTTTATATAAGAATATATATGTTGTTGTTATTGTTCTTCTTTTCTTCTCTTTTCTCTCTCTCTCTCTCTCTCTCTCTCTACCTCCCTCTCTCTTTGCATGCATTAATTAATTAATTTATTTATTTAATTTATTGTGTGTGTATCTTTTCTTCTTCATTTATTTGTAGGCATAATAAATAAGAAATAAATTAGTGAATAATTCTTCTTTTTTTTCTTCTTTTTTTTCCTCCCTTTTTCTTCTTTTTTCTTTTTTTTTTCTTCTTTTTTGTCATTAAAAATGACGGCATTTAATTCTTCTTCTTCTCTTCCTCAAGGACCTCCTTCTCCTACTGCTGATGCCTCTAGGCAACAGGTAAATAATTAATTAATTAATTAATTTAATTAATTAATTAATTATAAATATATATATGTTTATTCCTTGTTAAGAAATATTCTTGTTGTTGTATTATTTATATCTTCTAGGGTTAAGGGTTTAGGGTTTAGGGTTTAGATTGTTTGTACATATTGCTATTGATATTTTTTCGTTTTTTTTTGCGTTTTTTCCCCCTAATACCTCCCATCCCCTTTCCCCCCCCTATATAATACCTTAATTAATTACTCTTTTTTTTTTTTTTCTTGTTTATTTATTTATTTATTTATTTATAGTTAGAGCGTCGTGAATTTATTCCCCCTTTACCATCTGTATTTTCTTCATCTAAATTAATAACAATAAAAGTAGATAGTTCTTCTTTATTGAATAATTTAGATAAAGAGATGAATTCTCCATTTATTTTATCTAATAAGGATGCAGATATACTTAGATCCCTTTTTCCTAATACAATAGATACTCCTTTTGTTCAATTAGTACCTGATGAGGGTGCAGCAGCAGGAGCAGCAGCAGCAGCAGCAGCAGCAGCAGGAAAACCATTAAAAATAGGTGTTGTACTTAGTGGAGGACAAGCTGCAGGAGGACATAATGTTATATGCGGTATATATGATTATATAAATAAAATAAATAAAGAATCTATATTATATGGATTCCTTGGTGGTCCTCATGGTGTATATACAGGAGAATATATACAAATAAATAAACAATTAATTAATAAATACAGAAACATGGGGGGATTTGATATAATTAAGAGTGGTAGACATAAGATAGAAACACAACAACAAAAACAATCTTCTTATGAGGTAAATTTATACTTATTTATTTATTTATTTATTTATTTTATTTATTTATTTTTATTTATTTATTTATTTACCTTCTTATTCATGTATTTATTGTCTGAATAATAATACATCATTATATTCAACTTCTTCCCCTCCCTCCTTTCCTCTCCTCCCTTTCCTTCCTATAATAAATAAAATAAATAACTAAATAAATAAATAAATAAATTCTTTTTTTTTGTGTTTGTTTGCTTGTGTAGGTATGCAGGAAATTAGATCTTGATGGATTAGTAGTAATAGGAGGAGATGATTCAAATACGAATGCAGCAATATTAGGTGAATATTTTAGTACGAGGTGTACAGACACCTCAGGAGAAGGAGGAGAAAAAAAAAAAAATATAAATGTAATTGGTTGTCCTAAAACAATTGATGGAGATTTAAAGAATTATTATGTTGAAATTTCTTTTGGATTTGATTCTGCATGCAAATCTTATTCATGTAGTATTGGTAATCTAATGATGCAAACTCTTACACAAAGTAAGTACTTCTTTTATTTATTTATTTATTTATTTTATTTATTTTTATTTATTAGTATTCATAATAATAGTATTATTGTTTATTTTTATTCTTCTTTTGTACTTTTTTCCTCTTTTTTCTTAGCAATAAGAACACAGCTGATATAGATTCAACTCTTTCTTTGTTGCTGTTTCTTCTTATGCAGAGAACACCGTAGACTATACGGATAAATTAAATATATATAAATGTATATTATATAAATTATATTCTTTTTTTTTCTTTTTTTTCCTCCTTTTTTTCTTTTTTCTTAGGAGATGTTTATCAATTTGTCCGTCTAATGGGTCGTAGTGCATCGCTAATTACATTAGAATGTGCACTAAGATGCCACCCTAATATGACATT